GACCAAAATATTGTGGCATTAGAGTTTTAAGTAAACATTCACGATGTATGTAATACTTTTTTCTTCCGAAAATACATCCATCAGTTGATCATGCGCTACTTCGATTTCTGTCCAAAATCGCCTTTGGATTCTCTTTCCAGTCACTTACTTACGGCAATGAGGTCTAATGCTTGCTTGGTTGGGATAATAACATTCTTCCTTTGTCAACCTCGCAATTCGTAAATTTTTGGCAGTGCTTGCGAACTCTAAAAAATGTAAGCCTTAAAGCTCAATTATATCCAAAGAGTAACTATAGAAAAAAGCTTAATTGTGGCAAAGGTGGCATTTTTTAATAAAATGTCACTTTTAACGAGGCTTAGTTTATGGTCTTCCAGTCTAGTGTGCTCTGCCATAGTTATCAAAATCATTGACAGATTGAATAATGTATAGACAACATGATGTCTCTAACTACAAGCCCTCTTACATGAAATAGTAAAATGATTGTTTAAAGTTAAAACCTTTATAATACAAAGATAATGATGAAACTCAAAGACAGAATATTATCATATTGTTATATAAATTGAAGAAAAAACAGAGAAAAAAATTACTATTAAGATGTGTCATTTACTTCATTTCATTTATGATTAATATTCATCATATTCATTGTAGATATAAATTTCCACAACCATACATTTCTAGAAAATATAATCTCAAATTCTAAAAGCTTGAATTTTACATCGTAGAGATTGATTGTGAATCAAATTATTATAAATTTTTATTCATATAATACTCTTTATATTATAAATTTATGATAGTATGTTTCATGAGACTTCTCATCACATTATTCAATGGTGTTTTGTGAAACAAAGTGTAGCTATACATGATGCAATTGGCGATATGAATCTAGTAATCACGAATAATGTAAATTATTCAATGAGATGAATGTTCGTTATTCTTACAATAGAATAAGATTAAGGAAAATCATAATTGATGTAAAAGTACTAATGCATACATTTTTTATCTAGTGTGCAAATAAAATATATGCAACGCGTAATCTATTTCTTTAAAACACAATGTTTGGTCATATACATTCACATACAATCTGGAGGTGATGCAATATTGGATTCAAATATTTTTTGTAAATTGTTTGACCTCGATAGCTAAGATATTCTAATTTGAGTATGACAAGACTCTTATTGTATACCAATACATGTAAGTTTAATAAACTTGCTATTATTTACTACATTCATATTTAATTCAATTGTTAACAAACTTAAAATAAATATAAATGATACATCTGTTAACAAAATTGCAGTATGAGACTTTGATAACATGATGTTTAATTTCAAGTATGTATCAATGATTAAGAACTATTTTATGTAGAAATAAGTTAAATTTACTAGTTTTTCAAACAAATTTAACATCTAATTTAATATTGATTGAAATAAATTTTATAAAATTAAGAGAAAAAATCACACAAACTAATATATTTAATATTTTTTAGATTTAAAAAATTTCTATCATCAAATAAAAAAATTATAGCAATAAATTTTTAATTGAATATATACCTTGAAGCACATGCAATTTAAGACTAAAAAAGATTCAAAAATTCAATCCATGAAGAAATTTCATCTTATATTTTTATATATTTTAAAATAATAAATGCATTTTATGTAAAAGACTTTCTTTCGATGTGTATAACATGTGCACAGAATTGTTGCTTTGATAACATTTGAATCAAAATCTGAATTCAAAAAATATCAACATAAAATAAAATATATAAGTCTACTAAATTTTATAGTGTTTATAAAATTTACATATAAGATTCAAAATTCCAAAGCGTAAATTTCACTTGCAATTATATATAGGATATGTTAACATTAATATATTCATATTACTATTCAACTATAGAAAATTAATTCGGAATTAAAATTTTTTAACTCAAATTCATATCTATATAGTGAAATTTATTTTATTACTTGATTATATCCCTATCTGATATATTTTTAACATCAAAATGTATGTTAAATAAATAAATTTAATAATGGATATACAAGTATGATTTAAAGATATTTAATGTTCATGCTTTATTTACTTCTTCATTCATAATCATGATTCTTTAAAAAATATAAATGCAATCATCAAATTTTTTCAAATATTTATACTATACAATTCTATGTCATGTGTATATACGTTAGTGCAGTTGTAGATCGACATTGAGTTCGAGTTTGAGTTGGGTGACGTTGGGAGTTGGCTAACGTTGAGACGCGAGGAGCGTTGGATGCAATCGACACTTTCCACGCATATAGTCGAAGCGAGCTCAAAGAACTGCCAGTTCTTTGAGTTGAGACTTTCGCGTAGGGATATGTCAGTTTCGTTAGCTTCAAATCTATTCTCCCGAGAGTGGAGTGAGTTTGGCTTGACTCTGTGTTTGTGTTTCAGACTTTTTTTAGTTGTGATGCCTTTGTGTGCGGACACTCTAGTTCCTTAAGTATGTATAGGCCTCGACAAGGTAAGGTAAAAAGGTAACCGAGTAAGCCATGGGTCTCTACCTTTACCCTAACTTTTACCTTACTCGTGTCACAATAGTCTACCTTTACCCTTTACTTCTACCTCAGGATAATTACCGGGTTACCCTATACGGATTCTAAAAGATTCAAAAGTTACTTTTACATTAGGGTTACCGGGTAATTACCCTATTACCTCTACCCTAAAGTATACAAGGTAAAGATAATTTACCTATTTAGTATAGTTTATCTGGATCGCTTCAATAGAATATGCAGAATTGTATTTTGAATTTTTTTGAGAATGTACACACTTTATTTTTTGCGGTTAAGAGGGTTACCCGGTAATTACTGGGTAATCCATATGGCTCTACCTCTAGGTTACCTTTACTCTACCCTATAGCCAAACCTCTACCTTTATCCTTACCTTTTACCCTTTTATCGGGTAACCCTCAAAGTTTACGTTACCTTGCCAAGTACTATGTATGTATGTGTGAGTGCGCGAGTAGAGCATGTCAGCAATGTATGATGACGATACCGAGTCGCATGACATCTATTATATTAGAAAAAATCAATTTTTCATGATGTAGTAATGTAGAATATAGAAAAATGTATCTTACAAAAGAAATGTATTTGATTGTCAAAATCATTTCAATACTCATCATCTGTATACTTCTAAAATATTTTTTCACAGATGATTAAATTATATGAAATGCTGATATGTCATGTTGTACTTTTTTGGATGCATGATTTATATGATAATTTATATTAAAACATAAATATGTATCTATATTTAAATAATTCTAAAAATTATGATGCATTGGTTTAAAGTAGTACCATTAATCAGAAAATAATTTGAAATATTTATATGCTATTCATAAAAATGATAAAATATTATTTTTATATAATTATATCAAAATGTTTAGTTTGAGATATTTAATAATAATTTTAATTTAACAATAAATTTTATTAAATTTTTGATATTTTTCACTTAGAAAATTTCAAACCTTTGGATTTTACAAAAAATATTATAAATCTTAAATATACAATAAATAAAATAAAAATATAAAGAAAATTTTAGGGACGATTGGATATTTAAAAAAAATCATGGAATTCAGAAATTTTCTTAAATCTTACTCAATAACAATTTTTTTACTCTCAGAAATTGTTATTATTATTTTTAATTGAAAGAATATATTTTTCTTGAATCTTCTAACTAAATATAAAGATAATTTTAAATACCAATTAATTATATAATTAAAGATTTTATTTTTCTTAATTTCGAAAACAAATTTTTTCATACAATTTTTTTGATGATTGCATATCTGATGTTTTGTAGCTAAGGTAATCATTTCTGTGCTCTGCATCATCTATATTCTTTTATGAATTAATTTTTCCAAGAAGGAACATAATAATGAAAGAATGCTGATCTAAATATAAAGATAAGAACTTATAATGTGATAGGTGTTTGTCAATGGACTTAAGTTTGTTGATCTAATAAAAATATTTATTTTATTCATTATCTTTGTAATAGTTTGAAACTATTAAAATGCATTTTTCTTGATCATGAAAGCGTGCAGTATTCCGTTCATTAGATGGCATGAATGTTAATTAAATTATAAATTATTTTATAGTTTACTAGTCAATAAATTTCGACTATGTACAACACCAACAGATGTAACATGTAAGAAAGTAATAATTTCATGTGATGTTTTGTAGCGCGCTAGTCTTGTTTATAACTAGATGTATCATTTATTAAAAGTAAAATAGTTTTTCTTATCTAATGTTGTTGGAATCTAACAAAATGAAACTACTGGGATTTCATCTTTGTATAACTTCTACTTGGCATTTCACATGTTTTTTACTACAAAATTGGACTCCAGAATATTTTTTATTATCATATTAATTAATTGTAAATTCCAAGCATCTAAACATTGCCAGAAAGTACTTTCACACAAGGTTACGCAAAGTTGAATAATTTATGTATAATAGAATTGTCCTTCTAAAAAAGATATGTATTTTTATGCGCGAGAGAGTGAGGGTCAATATAATATAGTATAATATTTGTTTATACACTCACTAACACTGAAGGAATAAAAGTCTACTTCTCCATGAAGTAGAGGATGGATAAACAAACACACGAGTAAGTCAGGGAAGCTTAATAAGTTTCATCAAATAATGCCTGAAATCTTCACAGCACTAAAGGTATTGTCCTGCTGGTCCAATTTTATTTGGGTTTCATCACGTTGAGTGAGGCCCCAAGAGTTATGGCGGAATCTTCGAATGAGCGAGAAGGTCATGCCACAAAACAACGGCTCCCACGCGTTTAAGCATTTAATTACATTTAAAGAATTCCTGCATTATGAAGTTTCTGGCTTTCGTCGCCCCACCAGGATGCCAAATGCAGAGCCATTAATTAACTAACGAGGATACTTACTTCCATTTCACCCCCTCGTACGCCTTTGGACGGATTCATCCACTGCACGCCACCCCCGTCCGGCCACATCCGCGCGAGAGATGCGAAGGGACGGTGTGAGAGCATATCTGGCACCCTCTGCTCCCTCCCTCCCTCCGTCCCTCCCTCCGGAGGGCGGAACGGAACGGTCAATGGTCGCCGTCCTGGTTCAGAGACAGAGACAAAGAGTCCTTGTTTGGGAGAAAAGCCTCGTGCCCCCGGCCCTGCCCCTGCCCCTGCCCGCCCGCAGGACTCAGATTTGCAGATTTGCAGATTTGCAGATTTGTTTGCGCAGACGACATGCTTGGAAACATAGCCAGGATGCGGGAACATGTACCACCGTATACAGCTCTGCAGCGAGCGAGCGAGCGAGGGCCGTCATTCACAACGGAAGACCTCTGCTGCTGCAGCGGTGTACGGGCATATGACGAGGAGCGAGGGAGGGAGGGAGAGGAAGGGGTGGAAGAATTGTGCCCAGAAAGGAAAGGAAGGTCAACCTATGAATTCCGCATTCACGTAAGATTAAAGGGGGGTTAGCGATATTTTCGTATCACCCCGGTTATTGGGCGATAATGCGATGGATTGATTGCGTGGATGCGAGGGAGTGCGTGTATGTTGGGCAGAAGTGAAGTGATGAAGATGTCTGGAGCACCAATCATTTGGCTGATTACTGGACTCGCATTCGGGCCTTGCTTAGGTCCTGCATTAATGCGACGTCGCGTGGTCTGCACCGAAACTAGGTTGGTAATCTGCAGTCGAGGGCGATGACCGAAAAGGGGCCTCGTCATGGAGCCGGAATTGGCGGTGGTGTCCTCAGCGCCGCATTAGTGCTGCGCAAATCAAACGGAATGTTTGACTCATGTTTTCATCCTGGATTTGGCCGATGACCCAACTCATGCATCAAGACCGCGTCTACTCAGCCTCAGCGCCAAAGCTTGTGTCCTACGCCGTGGCAGACTGCCCAGCCTATCGGATTCTAGTTAAACCAGATGCCCCCCGCTTTTAGTATTGAAAGCCAGCCGCTCGACGAGATTGGACCATAATAATTCCCGTCTTCGAGCTCTAATTTACTTCTCAGATGAACAGATTTCCTCCTACTGCAACTGCCCTCCCTTCCTCCCTTCCTCCATCATCCTGGCTGTACATGGAGCCCCACGAAGTTGCTGCAGATGACCAGACTCGCCTCGCTCTGTCAGCGGATGCAGATTGCTCGCTAGAATGGGCTCGCAGAGAGTGGATGAACAAAATTCCATTCCGTGACCCAATCACGGTCGAAGCAGACATGGATGGCAAAGGAATCTTGGTCATTCGTTCAGCTAAAGCTTGTCGATCTCGGTCACCAATATTCTCTCAGTCTGCGGTCAACTGGACGGATTGCTGTGCAGGATCTTGGTCGTTAGTCCTGTTAATTGGCACTCCCTCATCTGCATAGGTGAGCCAAAAGGCCTCTCATAGATTCGTATTAGGTGCAATTAGCGATGCAGCCTTATATGATCACTGCCATTACTCCTCGGGTTTGATGTATTTCAGCTGGAATGCTGGTATTCCCATTTTTTTCTCTTTCTCTCAGAAGTTCATTCGAAGTTGAAATTTCCCAGGATGACGTCTTCTTCTCCGGCGATCCGCTTGTGATGTTGAATGTTCTTTCACTCAATTATCTCCTTTTTTTTCGGTTTATCGTTCATTAGTATCAAATCTTCATTAGTAGGAGGATAAGAGGAGTGAAACATAAGGTTAGGAACGTTGGAATTTTTTGTACTTCCACATTAGTTTACTATTAATTTTAATTTTTTAATTTTTTTTACCATATTATGGATCTATGAGTTGTATGGTGAGGAGATCGTAATCTTTTTACCAATATCAATTCCAATTTGGAAAGAGGTATTTTTTATTTGGAGACACCTATATGAACTTTGAAAGCGTTGTCTGAATCATGGGTCTACAATAGAGTTTGAAAAATTGTAAGTTACGATTAGCTTTCTAAAATTTTTTCAATGGTACTCGTTAACTCTTGTAATACTTGGGAAGCTGTAAATTGACAAAACAAGATCATTTTTTTTTCGTTTTGTAACAATATAATTGTTCTGTTGAGAACTTTAGTGTATGTACTCCATATACAATCCGCCATACTAAACGATAATATTTAGGAGACTCATGTTATTTACAGAATACTTGGTATGGATATGTCAATTTAAGTAGTATCATGATGGTTATGGAACGTAGCCGAACGAGACCCATCTCGTTACATGCATGTCCCACTTGATGGATTCTTCCAGTCGAGTTGGTTATTGTAATGAGTACTCATGACAGCCTGAACATGACATTGACCATCGATATGTGTTATGATTGGAGTTGATCCCAACAAGTCGCATAGTTAGTGGTAGGGCGATGGAGAAGATTCGGACAAAAGGTTGTTCGTATACGCACCACCATGTACCCCTCTACAGTTTGCAGATGACCGAAAAGTCGGGGAGTATGTCTGTAGTAGAATGCCGGATTTCAACCCCCCTCGGAGTTAGATCTGATGCCGGTGAAGTCCCGTGGTGCCGAGGGGGGACGAAGTGGGGGGGGGGGGGGGCGTTTTAATGGAGCCCAAGAGGTCATTAATGCTATAGCAGAAGGGGCTGCTGCTGCGGCTTCTTCTTCTCTCGGTGGGGCAACGACAGGACGTTGAAAGAAGGGGGAGGAAAAGACAGAGAGAGTGCCAGAGGAACTCTCTCTCTCTCTCTGGGGGGTGGATAAAGCGTTGGCTCTGCTCCTGCTGCACGGAGTCCAGTTGGCCGAGCTTAGCTTCGCTTCGCTTTGCTTTGCTTTGGTGGGGGATGGGGGGGATGCTGGGCTGGTGAGGGAAAAACTTCTTTTGGTGCTGCGTGTGCCATCCTGAGGAGGAGGAGGAGGGAGGTAGGGGAGGGGGGAAGAAGGACGGACATCAGCCTCGGCGCGTCTTCGCGCACACTAGTCCATGCGCGGGGGGGCCTCGCCATCCGTGTCCGGGGTGCCTCTCTTTTATCTGTCTGTCGGTCTGTCCGTCTGTCTGCTACTTCAAGTGTCCTGCTGCTCGCTGCTGCCTCCTTTTATGCCCTACCTATTACGACACGGCACTTGCGTCTCGCTCACCTTTAGCTTGTTTGGCTCCTTGGGCGGGGGGGCCTTTTTCTTTCTAAGAAGGTCTGTCCTGCATCAGTTTCCCCATTCCCAGTCTCTTTCTTTCCTCCCCTTCTTTTTTTTTTTCAAAGCTCGTGGACAGATTCCATTCCATTCCATTCTTCTGCCGCTGCTGTTCTGTCGCTCTTTTCGCTGTCGTTCGCCTTATTCCAATCTATCCATTTGTCGACGCCGGGAGGCCGAGGCAGAGGAGTTTCAGCCCAGGCCCAGTCTCAGGAATTGCTGTCGGGTTCGGTTTGTTGGACAGTGACGACGCGAGACGTCTGCTCTTGTTTTTGTTGCAGAGCCTCGGGCCGGAGATCTACCTGCCGCACACAAGTGATCTGGATGAGAAGTTGCACTCGTCTCATTTCTCGCCCTTGAGCAGACGGTGGTTGGGTTGGGTTGGGTTGGGGTGTGTTCAGAGCGATTGCTGTAGTTAATGCAGGGGAGATGGTCGTTGTAATGAGCAGCTCTCGATGACGATGGAGTAAGCCGACAGGGCGGATGATGGTAGGAGGGGCAGTTGTGAAGACTGCACGATTTAAAGCAGCGCAAAATCTTCTTCGCTATATCGCGTTTTGAATTCGCATCGACGGCAAGGCCATTGAGGCTGTGATTTTGCCAGCCATCGCAATGGTGAGCAGAATGACGATTTTGTTTTCCCTGCACGCAGATTCCATGAAGCTGTTCTTGGACTAGTCCCCAGCGATGATCTAGGGTTTCTTTGAGCTGTTGGAAAAAATCCATGAAGCTTTAACATTGCCTATCGGCCCTTGTCATCCGAATACCCCGGCAGAAACGCAGAGCTGACATTTGTGGGCTCACCACAAATTGTCAAATAGCCTTGTCCGCTTGCAATTCTTTCTCGGATTAGATTACCCCCGTAATCTTGATCCTCATGGGTTTCCACTTTGTGCCGTTCGTCTGTACAGTCTTTGATGCGACGAGCTGGGGCATTTCTTGGGATGCATATTCTGCAGATTCTGGGTAGTGTCTTCCTAGATGGCATATATGAAATTTTAGTCGGAAGATGTACCTGATGCCGAGTTTGCTTCTCTACCCTCTGTGTAGATGATGTTTGTGAATTGTAGTCTGTATAACTGCCGAATTAGGCTTTGCAGTCTTTTGTCGAACTGATGGCGACGGTTTCCGTCTCCCTCAGTAATTGAGCCAGGTCTGTCAATTCGCCTGTGTCCTCTTTGTACATATCACGCTACCGCATATCAATCAGTTTTTAGGAAGTGCGGCGCGAATAGCTGTCTGGACTCTGTTGTTAGCTCGTTGGTGACGGGGATGAACACTGAGGTTGCTAGTATTTTTAGTTAGGACACAGTCATCGTTTCACTGTTGGGTTGATAATTCCTCTTTACTCTTGTTCAAAGTTCTGGAAACAGAGGGAGTAGAAGTTACCTTAGTTTGAATACATATCTGGAATAGCTGGGCAAGATGTTCTTGCCTTAGGAAAATCCGTTCTATTTAAGTCCAGATTGTCTGTCATCATCTAACTTGAGTTTTACCAACATAGTTTTCTTCATATGATGATGACGGCAAGTCCCTGACGTAGTTGTCATGGACTTGCCGAACGGAAAAATATGTGAAGCTCACGCTTCTTGTCTTGGTAATGATCTGACTTTGTATGAATCTTTTGGAAACTTTTCGTGTTTGAAAATGTGACAAATCTATTTTGTGGAGTGACTTGTGGCCGACCCTGTACTAGTTGATTGCACCTCATACAACTAGTACCTCATGATTGTAAAGAAACTCGCGAAGCTTATGAATTTTTGCGATCGAACATTACCTCCTAAGCTTCTGGCTATTGTGATTCCGTGGCAGAATAAATTGGGGCGTGGTCATCGGGACAAAGTTCACCAGTTTATGAACATTGCAGGAGCAAGGTAAGAATAAGAATTTAAAGATGTTAAGATAAGATTTTTAATATCAGATCGGGATGTGCGGAATTATGAAGTCGCTTTGTTAGAGTTTTCAAGGTATCTGGGTTTCGAACTGACTTTGAAGAATGCTCCAAGTATCGTAGTGACTTACCATTAGAGGTGAACTCAGGTGCTCCTCTGTGGAGTTACTCGTTTAAGTTCACACCCAGATGCGTGTCCACTTGTAGCTGAACCGAGTCAGAATTTGGTCTCTCGATCGGTGGAAATGAAATTATTTATGCAAAGAGCAATCTGTTTCTGGAGACAGAAACCAAAAGCCGCGAGGTATTCAAGTGTGCATGAGCGTCGTCAATTGATGTATTCTTCACCACGTTGGATATGCAGTGAGAAGGCTGCCTTGCAAGCTTTAAAAGCCAGTGACTGGAACCTAGAAGGGGCGTTTGAGGTTTTTTATAATCAACCTCCTGCAAGACCGGCTACTGATCCTCGTCATCTGGAAGAGCTGTATGTGCGATACAAAGGTCAGTTTTCGATAGAGATACTGCAGCTAACGGGAAGTGAACTCGCGAAGGCATGGTGACTTACAACATCTCTAATATCTTGTTTTCACGCAGATCCCTACTGTGACATGATTTTGGTTGATGGCGTCTCACTGTTTTGTGACGACTTGCAAACCGATCCTGGCGACGTAGTAATGGTAATTGCTTCTACGGCATGTTCTCTTCTTTATTGTTCCTGTCCTAGTTTGCCATTTTTGTCTGTAGAGTGTTCATATGAAAACCTTGAATTATGAACTGAGGAGGAGCACGGATTAGGCAGGGATGCTCCCTTTATTCAAGCGACAGACATAATATTTAAGTTATATCTAACTTTGATATAGTGTGATGTCTCCTGTAGTTGGTAATATCATGGCACATGAAAGCTGCTACTATGTGCGAGTTTTCAAGACAAGAATTTATTGGAGGAATGCAGTCCCTAGGGTAAGTCTCACGTTAGCCGGATTGGACATTTCTAGTTATCTATCTTCATACTCCTTTCAACTCATATATTTGCTTGTTCCTGTTACTTTTCATATGCGGACGAAGTTTAGTGAAGCGTTTCTGGATCACGCTTTATTAATGTTTCAACTTCATCGTCTGGCAGGGTTGACTCAATTGAGAAATTGAAGTATTTGCTTCCTTCTTTACGGTCAGAGCTCAAAGATGAACGTATGTCTTGCTTTTCCTTTCATGCATTTCTGTGTTTCCGTCTTTTCACGTGTAACCACTGAAATCTTCAAGAGGTACAGGAGGAGACATCCTTCGCCCCCTTTTGAAACTTTTATGCTTGAAACGAATGGGGTCTGTCTTCCCCTCATATCTGCGTTTAGCAAAAGGCATTTCGTTTATGGAAATGTTCTTTCACAATGCAGCATGTCTAGCTCTTGTTGTTCGTAAGTGTGTCCGGACTTCCAGAGTTTATTTTGTTGAGTGACTTCTGCAATAGGTTCTGCATGTTCATGGTGTATTGCACGTTCCCTGATCTTGGGCGTAGACTCCTGCTTTGTTTATTTGTGTCCGAGCTTTATCGTGGTCTTACATCTTGTGTGTTTCCAGGATTACTTACGTGCACGAAGATGTTATCTGAATCTCGGATATTTCAGCAGTTTTCGTGGTCGTATCTGACCAGCCTGTGCCATCTATCACCATGCAGATAAATTCCGAGAAATTTATAACTTTGCTTTCGCTTGGGCTAAGGAGAAGGTACGCTCATGTTTACCAAGTTGCATTACTGTTGAGGTCTTGGAAAAAATGAACACACTATTCTTATGAGTAAGCTCAAACCTCATCTAATAACCTTGAATGAAATATTATCATAGAGTGTAAGATACAATTTTGATTGATAACAAGACATGGAAATTAGTGAAGCTTTTAAAAAAACAACTTTTTGTTGATAACAACTGGACGTACAGAGGGAAGTTTTGATGGGATTTATCGTTGAGGAGCATTTGAATCCCATGAGTGTTGAGAGAGGGACTGAATTGTCTTTATTGACGAATACTTTAGGGACAAAAATCCCTCGCATTGGACACAGCCTTGGGTATGTGGCGACTACTGTTTGCAGAGCGCGCCTGGCCATTAGTGGAATATTGGTGTCAATTTCTACAAGTAAGTTTCGATAACCATAATTTCGAAGTGATTATCCTACGTTGCGAAAACAGTCGGGTAACAGACACGTGTTCTTCGAAGATGTTTTAAGTATGACGATGAGATATCTGAACTATGCATCTTACCTTGTCTGCCCATGGTGCAGGCAAAGCACAACAAAGCAATATCAAAAGACACTTGGTCCCAGCTTCTTGAGTTCTCCAGGGTAAGTGTTCAACATCGTACTTGACTTGATGTGGGAAGTGACTTATGGACAAAACCCAAGTCTTGCTCGTGGACTCTAACTCGAAGAGTTTGTTACTCATTACATGCCTGTGTTTCTTCATTCCCAGACAAGAACAATTTTCTTTTTCAAGTCAAATATGTCTGGGTAATTCTTAATCTCTGTAATACATGTTGCGCTTCGAAGGCCAGTGGTAAACTTGTGGATGAGGAATTGTTTATTCCTTGTTTCAAAAAATAATCAGTTTACATTATTGTTGTAAGAAGCGATGTCCATCAACTCTTCTGTCTATTTTGCAGACGATCAATCCATCGCTATCTAATTACGATGCAGAAGGAGCGTGGCCATACTTGATTGATGAATTCGTGGAGTATCTCTGTGAGATTGGTGTTCCACAAACACGCGGTAGCTAGATAGGATTCTTTGGTTTGCATTATCTGCAGAATTGATTCAATCCCTGTTCATTAACCACACTATGAATCGAAGCCTGAACAAAGGCTTATTGTACAGGACAAGACGTTTGCCTAAGTTTTCAAGGCCAAGGCTAATATCCTTGACTGACTCTGATAAACGTAGATCCTCAATGGATTGATGAATGGCTTTGGTGTTTCTTAATCTGCCCTGACACCCACATTTTTACCAAGTTCAACTGGAACTCATTGATTCGTGTAATTCTTTCTCTGATGAAGAGAGGTAGAAACTGGACATCACCTCTCGTTCAAGTGCGTGGCGTTTTGATTGCTTTGAGTATGTATTATGGTTGTCGTGACAAGTATACATGTCAGCAGATGGATCCACATTTGCAATGAATCATCCAAGATCTCATATATTTTTCAAATTTCATCGGTAAATTTAATGATGGTAAAAATGTGTGCCGTAAACGAAGAAAGTTTGCATTCCTCACTATAACAAAATTCTTGCACTTCATTCTCCATGTCAACATATCACCTATAACTGTACAGGATATGATTTAGATTCCCGCAAGTCCGTCTACCTACAATTTATCTTCTCCTTCCGAGTCCATTCTATTGTGTACAGCAAGCAACGGGCACTTCGTCTACCGGGCACTTTGGTAGACGAAGTAACGGGTACTTCGTCTACCGGGCACTTTGGTAGACGAAGTGCGAAGTGCCCGTTGCTTGCTGTACACAAGGGTACACGATAGAATGGACTCGGAAGGAAAGATAAATTGTAGAAAGCATGTTGATATTCACAGTATAGAGCAACAAGAAACAACCATTATATATATCAGCGCATGAATAGTAGACAGCAGTGAAAACTTTTACGGGTTTACGGGTGTCATATCCACGTCACTGTATGGCGTTTCCCGTGTTCACGGTAAGAGACACGCATGGAGAAAGATGTTTTGAAGCATGGCCAGGTCCTCTAAAGACTGAAATCCTTCAATGGACTTCCGTATTTGGTTTTCAAGAAGTTTCGTACTTTGAAAAATAATTTTTTTATCTTCATCTACGTGGCGTAAGTAGAGAGTGACAAAAGTTCAACATTCTAGTACATAAACCCCTAAACATCACGCGGTTTCGTGCTGTTAGAACATCTTAAATAGTTATTTCGGCTTAAAAAATGCTCGCACCATTATTTAATCTCATTACAATTTTGGTAATTTGTTGCATAAAGTCCCGATAGAAAAATTTTCTGTTGCGAGAGGAAAAATTGAAAAAGAACAAAATACAATCACAAAAGAAACAATGCTCTCGAATCTCTCTCTTTGAACATTGTTCCAAGTTAATACTCTCAAAGTAAAATATATAAAAAAATGACCTCGGAGATGTTACAGTACCATATAAATATGGAATTGTAACACCCTCCGAAGGTTAGTGTATCCTTTATTAATAAAGAGATCGTCGGTTAGAAGTCTCGATACTTCTTAGGGTTAGGGTAAACACTCCCTATTATTACAGATAGATTATCTCAACACTCCTCCCCGCGCGATGAACTTTCTCATTAAAAAACTTCAAGTACATTGAAGAAAAAGAGTGGAGTCATCGTTCGCATTCTAATTCAACTATTGTCTATAAGTTCTGATAAAGTCCGCATCCCTGTTGCGGCTATCAGTTTTTGATGCTGCGGAGCTGGTAATGCCTTGGTAAGTAGATCTGCGATGTTCTTCACTGAAGCTATCTTGCGCATTGCATCTTGGCTTGTCTCCGTGAGGTCCTATGTGTAGCTAAAAAAATGAGAACTGATATGCTTCACACAGTCTAATTTGATTAAACCAGAAGACACTTGCTCAATACAAGTTGCGTTATATTCAAAAATTGTTCTTGGCTTTTCTTGGAGTGAAAATCCAGCCATCTCGGATATAGCGGTATGCATGGTGCGAAGTCACACTGCGTCCCGGACTGCCTCGTGAAACACAAGGAGCTCAGCGTGATTCGTTGAAGTTGCCGTGACTATTTGTTTCCTGGATATCCAACAAATGGGTGCTCAATTTTTTATAAAGATGTAGACTGTTTGGGACTTGCGAGTCATTGGATTTGATTTGAACCCAGAGTCGGCATAGCTTGTAATATCATTCTGGCTGCGGCGAAAATGAAGACGGAGATCTTCTATTCCTCGAATGTACTTGAGGAGGTGCTTGATGCCTTGCGAGTGTCGTGCTGTGGGGCATTGGCTCCGACGGGCAAGGACGCTGACGACAAAACTGATGTCGGGTTGAGTATTTGTCGCCAGGTAGAGGAGTGCGACGACTGCTGCTAGATACTTCGGTTTGTCCAACTCCTCCTCCTTGGATTCAGCAAGACAATAGGGATCATCGTCATTCTTGCTCCTCCCTATCATAGGTGTTGATAGGGCATTCGCATTGTCCATGTTGAACGTCTTGAGAAGCTTGCAAGCATAAGTTTGTTGATGAAGAAGCATACTTCCATTTGCAAGATGGGTAATCTGGAGTCCTAGACAATATGATGTTTTGCCTAACAGTTTCATCTCAAACTGTTTAGTTAGTATGAATTCAACACGATTGCTCAATGCTGGTAATCAATACAGTTCAAATCATTGACATAAACAGCGAGTATCACAAATTCTTACTTCAAAGCAAAGATGCAAGATAGAGCAGGTTGATTTTGGAAGCCATTAGAAATCAAATAGAACTTCAAGTGATGGTACCATGCTCTTCCGGCTTGTTTTAGGCAATAGAATGACTTCCGGATTCATAGCCCGTGAAAATGTCATGGTTGGATTGATGGCAGGTGTGGTACAAACTCTGATGGAGGTTTGATATGCAGATCTTTATCCAAGTTGCCATAGAGATAGGTAGTGACAACATCTAAGAGACGTGTTTCAAGTGAAAGCTACACTGCTAGGCTTAAGAGATAGCGGAATGAAGTACTATCCATGACTGGGGAATATGTTTGGTCAAAATCAATTCTTGGTTTCTGAGTATATCCTTGTGCAACTAGACGTACCTTGTAACAAATTACATTTTCGTGTTCGTAACGTTTTCTAGTGAATATAAGTTTGTAACCTATGGGTTCGACTGTAAGATTTGTTACAAGTGGCCCAAATACTAAACGCTTGCGAAGGGATTGATACTCGGCATGTAATGCTTTTTGCCACTGTGGCCAATCTGGTCGCTTCCTAGCTTGATCTAAAGTAGTAGGGTCAAAATCAGAACTAGTAAGACTGGTTACAAATGACTCAGGATTTGACCAGGGATCTCATGGTTTCTCGGATTGTTCTACTAGGAGTGCTGCTTGTGTATGAGTATTACGTTTCTTGGGTATTGAAGCGAGCATATGATTTTCTGACCCAGGTAGTGGGTTTTGGAGTATTTTAGGTCCGGATTGAAATTCGTCAAGGAGCTTTTCAGCTACGTTCTGTAAGTCTAGAAGTTTTCTAACTTCAGCATCTGTAAGTGCCATTCATAGATCTGGGTTTAGGTTGAGAGTCTCTTGGGCTCAAAAGTTAATGTCTATATGGTTGGATTTTCTAGCGCCGGGAAAACGAGTTTCTATGAATTTGCAGTTCTGAAATCTAGCTTTTTAAACATCATCTCTATCGGGTAACTTGTATAGAATAATACTTGGGGAGTCAAAACCAAGATATATACCTTTGATTCTATGGGGTTCCATGGATTTTATCTTTAAATCTGCAACAGGTACCCAAACCTCACAATCAAAGGTTTGGAGATGTGATATATGCGGGACTTGGCCAAGTGCTAATTCTAGCGGAGTCTGAGTATGGAGTAAGGTTGATCTAAGACTTAAAAGAACGGCAGCATGAAGGACAACATGACCCCAATAAGAAGGTGGAAGTTTAGAATGAAAAAGGAGTGGTCGGACTATGAGCTGAATTTTCTTGATAAAAGCTTCGGTTAGATCATTCTAACTATGCTCGTAGGGAGACGAATAAGTAAGTTCTATCCTTGTTGCCGCGCAATAGTCATTGAATGCCTGAGATTTAAATTCAAGAGCGTTGTTCATTCTAAGAAATTGAACTGGGTGGTCAGGGTAATGATTTCTAAATTTTAATAGCATCGCTAAGGTCTTGGGAAACATCATGCATCCAGACCTCGTTGACGCAGAAAAACCTCAACATGACGTCTGGATGCATCAACGAGGACAAAAAAAATATTTGAACTGACTTGATGTTGGACTGACTGGGCCACACCAATAACCTTGAAGACGGTGCAATGGTGCGAGCATCTCCTCCGGTAGTTTTCAAATCGAAGGTTGTTGATCAATTTTCTTTAGATGCATGTTGGGCATTCTCGAACATGCTCCGCGTTGCTAGTGCACATCTTGTGGCCGGTCAGGAGCGGTATCATCCTCCTCATCATGGCATGTTATTTTCGCTTTAGCGGTGGTGAGTATCGTTGTTCCACACTTGAGTTGTAGTATCTCCTCACCACACTCCACCGCTGTGGAGGCGTGGATATGGTTGGCCCGTAAATCCTGGTAGCTGATCAGAATCCGGGAGGCCCTCCGTGCAAGACTATTGTTGTCCGTCCCTCACGGAACACTTAATTTTGCATTCCTGCGATTGTGAGTATGTCACAAGATTGCCACGGCTTGTTTTGAGTTTGGAACTCAAAGTAAGTCTGATCTTTGAAAATCAAAACGGTGGATGCACTATCAAGGAGCGCAATATTGTCCTTGTTGATAGTAACATGACGCATTATCATAGTGTTTTCTGGATTTAGCTCCGTAAATGTGAGAGACGGAGCATCTACAGTATGAGACTCCCGTCGCGCAACTTTCAAGGACTGAAGTTCTTGATACATGTTACAAATGTACTTGCTAGCGTGACAATTGCGTGCACGATGACCATGTCTACCACACTTATGACAATTATCCTTCATCTTAGATGACAACGGTGACTGAGACTGATATTGTGATCTGACTGAAATCAAGATTGAGATTGAGAAGGTTTGTTGCCATACCGCTGATACCTGTTGGACGGGTTGTGCCTTCAATTTTCTCGTGGCGTGCGTTTGGGTGCAGCATGAACCCGGGATTTGTCGTTTGTACATCAAGATCTTGAAGTTGAGGTGGTCTTGGTGTGCTTTGAGGCCTCTGTATTGTGAATTTCTCTTGCAGGTCAAGTCCCGGCCGTAAAAAGTTGTTGTTGCTTTTTAGAAATCATCAAGTATCGCATCAGATTAGCATGCTTGATGAATTTCATATTGCGA